GCCATATATATATATATATATACACACACACACACATATATACGAACAAGAATTGTACTTTTAAATTACATATGAGCCAAAGACACAATCACAATGAATTGATAGCCAAACAACCACAAAAAAAAGGAGATGCCAAAATTTATAAGAAGCAGCTCAAATATTTAAGGTAAATTTTAGCCTTAAGTTTGTTCAGTAATGGGAAATACTTATGTAAAAAACTATTGTAGTAGGCAGTACTACACACTAAATATTTCCAGCTCTTCTTCGGGTTATATGATATAATTGCCTGTCTCTGTTCCCTTGAAGTTATTTGTAGCCATTGGTCAATGAAACGTCAGTGGAAGAAATTTTCGCCACTTTAGCCAGGAGCTTTATGAGCTAGAATACAGTTAACCAGATTTTTTTTTCTTATCTTGGCAATTATAGAAGCATGGAGTTGGAGCTTCCTTTAGCCCAGGCACCTGAGCAAGACTGATACTCTTCTGAGCCCTGAGTCCCTCTGACTCTCTTCCTGTCTGTCCACATGTGCAGTGTAGCAGTAGCAAAGGGACTGATTACCACCACCTCACTTTCAAGTTTGGCTTCCACAGTTATTCTCTGGATTTCTGTCTCTACAAGCTGAATTATTTTAGATTTTCTTCTTTGGAGCTGCATTTGCCATTTGTTGGCCTAAATGCCTAATAAGCCTAATCCTTTAAAGTTACCTTGTATTGTTTGTTGTCTTCTTTGTCTCCAGTTTTCTAGTAGCATCTGAAAGCTTTTAGACACTGTTTTCCATGTACTAATAAAAACCATTTACAAATACCATCAAATAAAACCCAAGGAGTGAAAACAGGCTTTAAGCTGGTTATAAAGCTGGAAAATGTCCTCTGTCTTAATTCTCCCTTTCCTACCAATTTGACTAGATCATTCATCTTGGAGCTTTTTGCCTTCCGATTTGGTGAAGACAACCACAGCTTTCATAAAGTAGTCTATGGTAATTGACACATATCTTTCTTTCTGCAAATAAACAAACATTCTTGAATGTAAACAGAACATATCCATAGTCATGATGACACAATCATTCTGGCAGTTTTATAATCACTATCTCTGTGAAGGATCCAGGATGAGGTATTGTAGTTGAAACACAGGTCGACCCTTTATGATAACTGTTATTATTTTCTGAAAATCAATTATGTGTAGAGACCATGAATAGGCACTCATTGAAGGTTTGTTTTGAATAAATTTGTGGCAACTTCTTTGAGAGTGACTAATAACTTCTAGAATGTGATGACTTGGCAATGAGAATGGTGCACTATTTTCTGGGCTCTGCCTTCCATGGCAATTTATCTGAACTTCAAGAATTTAAACTGCACCTTTGTCAGTTTCTTGAAGGAGAACCAGAGGGTCCACTACCATAGTATGGTTTATTGCCCTGTCCTGTCATGTAGACTTTCAAATGCTATCTGGCTTGGGTTTGTATAATAACACTTCAGTGTGATTACCATTTTATTGCAAGGGAGTTTTATAAAAGCTCTGTAAATTATTAAAGAAATCTGACTCTTTTCAATTAAAGAAAGTAAACTCTACCACATAGACTTACGTGACTTATACGATGAGAGAAATATTTGAGAAAAACAAGAACATAGATTGTTCTAGATCCAAGTATTTTCAAAAGTCCTAGCGTAGACATCCAGTGTGAGGGTAGTATTAATTACCATTATTTTCCCAGCAAGACTCAAATCATACCAAATTTTTTTTTCTTTTATAAAGCTAAATTTTGAAAGAAAATTAAATATGCTTTTAAATATGATATTATTCAAGTTTTAAGTAATCTTAGGCGCTTATTTTCAAGTGGAGCAAATCTCGTTCAAAGAATTTATGAAGAAGACCCCAAAGGCAATCACAGCAACAATAAAAATAAATAAATGGGCCGGGCACGGTGGCTCACACCTGTAATCCTAGCACTCTGGGAGGCCAAGGCGGGTGGATCGCTCAAGGTCGGGAGTTTGAGACCAGCCTGAGAAAGAGCGAGACCCCGTCTCTACTAAAAAATAGAAAGAAATTAGCTGGACAACTAAAAATATGTAGGAAAAAATTAGCCGGGCATGGTGGCGTATGTCTGTAGTCCCGGCTACTCGGGAGGCTGAGGCAGGAGGATCACTTGAGCCCAGGAGTTTCAGGCTGCTGTGAGCTAGGCTGATGCCATGGCACTCTAGCCCGGGCAACAGAGTGAGACTCTGTCTCTAAATAAATAAATAAATAAATGGGACCTGATCAAATTAAAAAGCTTCTGCACGACCAAGGAAACTATCACAAGAGCAAACAGACAACCTACAGAACGGGAGA